TATTATGGTTAATTGCATCTTAATATTATTCACTCTTGAATTAAGTAGTGTACCATGGTTAAATTTTCTTGCTTACTCAAATCTATAAATAGATTAATCCACACAATAACACTATAAAGTTATGACCCCCATTCTAAAGTGGAGGAACCTGAGCCACAGAGAAACTAAATAACTCACTTGCCTAAAGGCACTGAGCTGGTAAGTGCTGAAACCAAAATTTAAACTCACATTAGGCTGTATAGTTCCAGAATGCACACTCTTAGACCCTCCATGATAGTGCTTACATTTGCTAACAGGTTTAAGTCGTAGCTCAAGCAAAATTAAACTGGGTCTAGCCCATTACTAAAGTAGGTGCTATTGTAGCATATGATAAAGACATTTTTAAAATTTCTATTCCCACAATGAATAGATAACTTTCAAAAGAGTATCCAGAAAGGTACTTTGGATATGTAACATACAACCCAACTTGTTAATTCATCACAATAACAGAACGTATGATTTTCCTTTTATCCATTCTTTACTCCGACTTCTCACCTTACAATTTTCTCTTAGCAAAAGTTAAGCAATAACTCTTCAGAAAAATAAAATAGTCTAGAGATTCATTATTAAAAATGTATCGAAATCTTATAATTCCCTGGGGCTAAGGTTTAGAACACAAAGTACAGTCTCTTTCCTCTAAAATGACATAATTCTTATAATTACTAAAGTCAGAATAAGAGATAGAACTACAATGAAGAAATTACTTTGGAGGAACCATTTTAGTATGTTTCTAAGAAAGCAGTATATTAGGCCAGGCACAGTGGTTCATGGCTGTAATCCCAGGACTTTGGGAAGCCAAGGCGGGCAGATCGCTTGAGGTCAGGAGTTAGAGACCAGCCTGGCTAACATGGGAAAACCCTGTCTCTACTAAAAGTACAAAAATTAGCCAGGCATGGTGACACACACCTGTAATCCCAGCTACTTGGGAGCCTGAGGCAGGAGGTGGAGGTTGCAGTGAGCCAAGATCGCACCACTGCACTCTAGCCTGGATGACAGAGTAAGACTCTGTCTCAAAAAAAAAAAAAGAAGAAGAAGAAGAAGAAAAGAAAGCAGTACTTTTCGGTTTTTCAACTTATCTGGTTCCATAATTAGTGAAAGAGATATTTTTAAATATCGATTAATGAAACACTTAGTATAGTCCCTAGTAATATAAAATACTGTCTTTCTCAAAGTTATATATACCTAAAGAAATAAGGCCAGGCACGGTGGCTCACGTCCGTAATCCCAGCACTTTGGGAGGCCAATGGGGGCAGATCATGAGGTCAGGATTTCAAGACCAACCTGACCAACATAGTGAAACCGCATCTCTACTAAAAATACAAAAATTAGCCAGGTGTGGTGGCACGCACCTGTAGTCCCAGCTACTCGGGAGGCTGAGGCAAGAGAATCACTTGAACCCGGGAGACAGAGGTTGCAGTGAGCCAAGACCACGCCATTACACTCCAGCCTGGGTGACGGAGTGAGACTCCATCTCAAAAAAAAAAGCAACAACAACAACAAAGAAAAGAACAAGTGAAAATCAGAATATAAAGCAAGTAACTGATAAAAGAATCAGACAATGCCTGACATCCAATTGACTGATCTTCCCACCCCATTTCCCATCTTTAAATTCAAAAGTTTATTTTTATGTTTTTGAAAAATCCAAGTTTTAAAGAGCAAGCCATAGGCCACAGAATTCTAAAATTCTCCAACTGTATTCAGCCTTTTACTCCTAAAAACAAGAAATAGTACAACTCAAAAGATCAACAATCTAAAAATTTAATCCAAGTGGTTTCTCTTTACTGGTAAAAAAAATCGTAATTTCTGTAATTTGCCATTAGTGGAAGAATTCAAGCCTAACTCATTCACATTTTATTAAATGGGTGGCTAATATTTAGCTTCACAGAGACCAAAAAAAGCACCAAATAAAGGGAGGGGGTGGCACGTGCACAAGAAACTTGGCTAACGATTTTTCAGACGCTTCTTGGTTAAAACTGCAAGAGCTGAATGAACACAGAAATCCACTTTAAAGTATATGTTCAGGTTGAATGTGTAATTTTTGCCCTTCTGAACTCCTGGGACAAAGGTTTATGCTCAATAATGTTTAACCTTCTTGAAATGCAGAAGGAGAAAAGGCTCAAAGCAATATGTCAGAAGTGATTATCATAGTTCAAGGGAAATGGTTATTCTGATGGCCAAGAAAAATGGACTCATTTTCAACATGAATGCTAGCCACTTAAAAATAACTATTATTCTGTGGCTGCAAATTATGAACATTAGTAGCATGAAAGCACATGTCCTGTAAGGACCCCATTGCTTCTGAAAGATATCCACATCCAGCTATCCAGTTTTGGAGAAAGTAAATGGGGTATTTTTATTGTGTTTGGCAAAGTAGCTAAAAATTACACTCCATTCTCAATTAACAATGCCTATTTCTAATAAGACTAATATATAAATAAAATTCACAGATAATTCTAAAGCATCCTAACTTAGGATAGTTTCAAACTTTCTTAATTAAGCTATGAACAGAGTTAGAAATGTATAAATCACTGGCTTGCCTCCCTATTTAGTAACAGAAAATTAAAAGTATGAGCAACAAAATGAAAGCAAATAATCCACCACTGGAAAGGTATCTCCTGAGCAGAGTCACATAATGGCATGTGATGTCAATATTAAAGATTAACTCAAATCGATTAAGCAACTCAATATCTTGCATTTTAGCCATCATCAAAATTTCATGACCTCTGTGAAAAGATATATGTGTAATCTGCTGGAATAAAGTAACACTAAAATGAAAGAATTCCACTTACTAAGAAAAAATTGTTAGAACAGCTATCGTTTGAATTTCAGCAAGACGAAGTCAAGCAATGTGATAGCATGTTGCTTTGTTGTTGTTGTTGTTATTGTTGTTTGTTTGCTTGTTTGTTTCCGAGATGCAGCCTTCCTCTGTCACCCAGGCTGGAGTGAGGTGGCGCGATCTTGGCTCACTGCAACCTCTGCCTCCCAGGTTCAAGCTGATTCTCCTGCCTCAGCCTCCCAAGTAGCTGGAATTACAGGCGCATGCCACCACACTCAGCTGATTTTTATATTTTTAGTAAAGACGGGGTTTCACCATATTGGCCAGGCTGGTCTCAAACTCCTGACCTCAGGTGATCCACCCACCTCAGCCTCCCAAAGTGCTGGGATTACAGTTGCGAACCACCGCACCCAGCCCATGTTGTCTTTAAGGTCAGTTTTATTCTGATGATGATTCTAGTCTCAGACCAATAAATCAGCAAAGAACAAAAACAGCAGTTTTGGGGGGAAAAAAATCAGTTGTAGATTTTAAAACAGAAGAATATGCCTATATAATTCCTTGTCTATTTTATATTATTTAAGTTTTAAATAATAAGCACATTTTATACACCACTTACTAATATGGTTTGTCAAATGTTCTAAGTAAAAAGTCAACAAATAAGCAAACAGTTCTTTGTTAACAGAAAAAAAGAAGTAAAAAGAAATCAGAAGATGGCCACAGGAACAATATTTCCACCTTCTGCCTTTCTAAACACAATATCTAAAATCTCAAAATGTTATTACCAAAAATTTAGGCTTGCTCTATGGAAAACAAAAATGTCGACGATGCAAACTTCAAGTAAAGGTTTGTTTCTTTTATCTAACTTCTTAAACCTTTCATTATGGAAAATTTTATGCTTATACAACAAAGGAAAAGTATAGAGAACTGCCATTTACACACCCAGCTTTAACAATCACTATTTCCTGGTCAGTGCTATTTCAACTATACCCCTATCCACATTTTCTGCCCTACCCCACCAGATGATTTTAAAACCAATCTGAGGGATTTTACTTCATTATTAAATATTTTAGTATGCATCTCTAAAAGATAAAGATTATTTTAAATCAAAATACCATTATCAATCTAAAGTATTTTTATAAGTGTCTTAATATCATTAAATATCCAAGCCTGGGCAACAAAGCAAGACCATGTTTCTTCAAAAAAACTTAAAAATTAACCAGGCATGGTGGCACACATCCATAGTCCCACCTTCTCAGGAGACTGAGGCAGGAGGATTACCTGAATTCAGGAGGTTGACGATGCAGTGAGTCATGACTTTGCCACCGCACTAGAGCCTGGGTGACAGAGTGAGAACTTGCCTCAAAAAAAAAAAATTCATTGTTCATATTTCCCCCACTTTCTACTTTTTTATATTCAGTTTATTTACCCAAATAAAGCATACATGTTACATTTGGTTGGTAGCTCTTTTAAGTCTCTTTTCATGTATAGACTATCACTCCCACATTTTTTCTTATAATCTGTCAAAGAAACTGGGGGTATTTGTTTTAGAGTTTCCCACACCGCAACTTTGCTAAATCCTAAATGTATCTTCACTATCTTCACCTTATCATTTAATATATTCCTCTGTCACCTGTATTTTACGTAAATCTATAATTACAACTAGCAATTTGATCTGATTTACGTTCAATTTTTTAGCAAGAATACTTTAAGTATTTTTGTATACTTTCATCAGGAGACGCATATGTATGGTTGTCTCTCGTGTATTAGCAGTCATCGATGTGTCTAGGTTCGTTATTTTATCAGGGCTTGCAAGATGGTGAAATTGTAATTTCATCATTCCTTCTTCCTTCAACAACAATTTGATTACCATGTATAATAATCCTTAAAGCAAAGACAGGAAAATGCTTGCTTCTTTCCCTTTACCACTTTTTAAGAAAAAAAGAGTTAGTTCCCTAGCATTCTCCAAAAGTCACCAATAAGATGGTTTTAAACAATATCATAGATTCATAGATTTTGAATATATGGATGTATTTCAATCTGCCATGATCATTATTCTTATTGATTGAGCAGTAGGAGCCTCTCCCAGTTTAGTCCTGGTCCTGACATGATCCCAGTAGTCTTTGATGCTTCCTTACTTTCTGGTTTGACAAGACGTGCCAAGCTCATTCTATATTTTCTGTTTCAGATCTGGAATCAGCCATTTCTCCAACAAGTTTGTGATTGATGGTTTCCATGGGTGTCCTGCCTGCATCCCTTCCACCTGGCCAATGGACTCACATACAGGCTACTGTGAGTGTTGGGTGCTAATGGCTCATAGCCACCCTCTCCTTCAGGGACTCCCCTAGCCTAAAGCTTCCTCACACTCCCAACCCTAGCAGCCCATAACCAATGACTGATGGAGGTGAGGGACAAAAGGCTTGCTTCAAGTTGAGACCAAGTCTAAAGTACAATTCATGTGCCAGAGTTCAATATTCAGAAGTGGAATTGTTGGCTCATATGATAATGCTATTTTTTAATTTTTGAAGACCTACCATACAGTTTTCTATAGCAGTTGAACCATTTTACATTCCTACCAAGAGTGCACAAGGGTGTGTAAACTTAATTTTAACACCATATTAGCTTAGGTATCTGCTTTGGTTTGAATGTTGCATCCCACTCAAAATTCATGTGTTGAAATTTAATCCCCAATGTGACAGTATTAAGAGGAGGGGCTTTTTGGAAGTGATTAAGTCATGGGGGTTCACCGTCATGAATGGGTTAATGCCACTAGAGAAAAAAAGGCTTCAAAGAGCTCCCTTGCTCTCTCTTGCTGTCTTTGCCTTCTGCCTTCCACCAGGTGAGGATGCAGAAACAAGGTGTCATCAATGAGGAACGACACCTCACCAAATACCAAACCTGCCTATGCCTTGGTCTTGAACTGTCTAGGTTCCAGAACAGTGAGAAAATAAATTTCTATTATTTATAAATTACCCAGTCTCAGGTATTCTGTTATAGCAACACAGATGGACTAAAACAGTATCTGATCCTCATCAATCTTAGTAATACTGAGCTGCATGTAAGAAAGGTCAATGTAGAGTAGCTAGTGGTATTCCCCAGCATCAGAGTTAATTATCTACTTTACCAATTGATAATTGAATAGGATGTATGGAGGCTGCAGCATGGGCTTGATAGTATTAGACCAAAGTGGACTTGCCAATACGTTGGTACCCTAGGGTGGCCAACACACATAATGCAGGCTGTCAGCAGACTCTCAAAGATGTAAAGCTACTCCCTGGGAATGAGTCACACTGGGATGATGAATAATCCCTCCAGTCAAATGGAATCTACATTATTCTCCCTGGAAGTTCTCACCCAATTCTCTAAGCACTGTCAGAGATAGAGACTAAATAAACATAGGATAAACACAGAAGACAATAGACTGCAAGGATGAGAGATGTCTGCTTCTATCAGACCTTATGAACTTAGGCCAATCACTTACTCACTGAGATTTAGTTTTGTCAAACTAGATCAATAATATATGCCATACCCAACACACAGGGTGTCTGTTCAGACTAAATGAGATCATGAATATGAGCATTCTTTGAAAGCATGAGGTGCTACTTAACTACAAAGTACTACTCCAAAGCTATAATTTTCCTGAAACATTACTGTCATTTCCAGAACTGAATTCTCCTCTCCCAAAGCACAAACTAAGTTTTGTTCAATTTCCATAGATTGATTTTTTTTGAGTCACACTCATCAGTTCACAACTAAAATAATAAAGAGAGAGAGAGAGACAATATTGAGAGAAATCAGACCCTTATCACTTACTTGGAGGTGGTTTAGAAGAGTAAAACAAAGGTGACGTTCGGAAAAATTAAGAAGTAGTCTTAGGAAAAAGGGTTCAAAGAGACAGAACCATGAGCCTAGAAAAGAAACAATTTATTGATTTTCAAGTACAATTAACTTGCTGCTAATTAGAACTACTTAATGGTAGGAGATTGTATCACTAAAAGTACTGAAGCAGAGAGGAATCTAGCATTATGAAAACTGTTAAGTCAAGTAAGCTCTAAGAGTCCCTCAAGCCTTACTATTCTTTGATTCACAAAGATTGATAATGACACGGTAGCAGGTGGCTATGCTTCATCCTCTCCACAATAAGAAATGGTCTTAAATTGTAAGCCATGGGATTTAGGGCAAAAATCAAGGAGTTGTTTCAGGCAGAGATGGCTGTTAAATTCCAAACAGAATTCTGAGGTAAGCTATGGCTGTGTCCTTTAAAATAAAGGAAGCTATACCCATCTTACCAGAGCAATTTAAGGATTACTCTGGTTAGAGGTGAAATAATAAACTAGACCATCTTTGAAGGGGCTTTCTTTTCAGTCCTTTGATCTATAGTTGTCCATGAAAATTTTCAAAGTATAAATGACTATCCAAATGTTTTCTTTATGTTTCCTTGGTTTGGAGCTTAAAGAATTTTTTTTTAAGACAACAGGTTGTCATTACATACAAGAAAGACATAAAAAGAATGGCAAGAGGTCTTGCTTCAGTCAAAATACTGACCTCAAAAAAGAATCATGAGTTATAAAGACATGCTTATTTTTCTCTAAGCAGAACACATGAATCCCTTTACCAAGTTAATCTTGGTTTCATGAGTTGTTTATAGAGAATAAACTGTTCATTCAATACAGTCTACCTACCTTGCACATTCCTGTGCACCTGTGCATTAATTATTCCTATACCTTACTATAATTTATTATAGCAAGCCTATAATAAATGAAAAAAAATTTTTTTTTTGAGATGGACTCTCGCTCTGTCACCAGGCTTGAGTGCAGCAGCGCAATCTCAGCTCACTGCAACCTCTGCCTCCCAGGTTCAAGCGATTCTCCTACGTCAGCCTCCCAAGTAGCTGGGACTACAGGCACATGCCACCACACCCAGCTAATTTTTGTATTTTTAGTAGAGACAGGTTTCACCACGTTGGCTGGGATGGTCTCGATCTCTTGACCTCGTGATCCGCCCGCCTTGGCCTCCCAATGTGCTGGAATTACAGAAGTGAACCACTGCGCCTGGCCATAAATGAAATCTTTCATAAAATTCTATCAATTATGAACCAAAAAGGGAGGTATAGCAATGTGTAGCAAAGACTCAGTACACTGAATGGGTGTCATTCAAAAAAATTCTTTTCAGATAATTAGCAAAAGAAATTTGACTTTATTAATCAATTCATTCTCTAGAATTCCAAAGGGGAAAAGGAAACAAATGTTTCCTCTAAGAGCTTTGGATTTGCTAGTTAATTAGCCAAAGTAAGGTATGAGTTCTACAGTTATGCCTTCCACAGAAGGGGAAATGTCCCGAGGTTATGCAAATAAAGCCGCCTGGTCCTACATATTTGAAAAGGAAAGGGAAAAGGAAGACCATTTTAATAATCTAAGCAGGAAAGGAACACAGAAACACCCTGCTATATTTTCAGTGAGATCAAGGATATATGCTTAAGTCTTTCCTACACTGCAAAAAGTTCCCAACTACAAAGATGACAAAATCTGGTTAATGTTACTACAAATTAAAGCTATATAATGTTCTAAAATATACTGCAGCCTTACAAAAACCTAAGCTGTAATCAGAAAAACAGAAAATTTCCCCAAGACTGAAAAACAGAAACCTACAAGAGAAGGAAAAGAAGGGTGAGGGCAAGGAAGTGGTGGTTTAGTGGGGGAGAGTTCAGGGAAGGGAAAACCTAATGAGTATGCCTGGAACTTCATTTCCTGCTATTTTCTCTAGTCTCTACCTGCGTGGCCTTTTCTTAGCCTAAAATGAAGATCCTTAAATGAAAGTCAAGAGCTACCTGGACCCATCTCTGCTAAAGGCATTTATATTTCTGAGAGAAGAGTTGGAAGCTATAAGCGATCCTCAGTCCTCTTCCCAAACTCTCATCACTGGCAGACTCCAAGGCTCAGACATCAATTGTCTTCTCTTCTCTATCAAATTCATTTTCTGAATCATCCCATCTAGTCTTATAGATTTAATAACATCTATGTACAAATAATTCCCACATCTTCCATGAAATCCAGAGATAAGAATATCTAATAGATATTTCAAACTTCACATATCCAAATCAGAAATGTTTATTTCCAATCCTCAATCCAAACCTGTTTCTTCCTTTGTGCTTACCATTTCAGAAAAGAGGTTCACCCAATCACCTGTGTTAGGCCCATATGTCCTCCAGCTCCTCAGTCAAAACTGTCAGGCTCAAAAATACCATTGCTTGATGGTAGTGGGAGCCCAAAAGTAAGAAAACAGATGCTCATAGGCTAAGATTTTGCCAGCAGGGAGAACAAGCTGCAGCTTGGGCTATAACCTGGGAACACTAGCAATTTTTAATTAGACTTTTTCAGCTCAGTGAGAAAGTCTCAGAAATTCTAAGTCACCAGAAAACTCAGGCAATGCTGTTGCAGTGTGCCAAAAACTGGAATCAGTGAAATGTAACAGGAATAGAGTCATTATGTTTGATTATTTCCTAATGCTCTAAAACTGTTATTTCCCCATACCCACCCCCAATCTCAAACACATAAATACTTCTTGGGTCTGAACGTTGTATATTAACAGGTTCATGTGAGCAGACAGTAGGGCCTTGCTACCTCCTAGGTGCTCTGACACAGAAAGAGGGGGCCAATAAAATGATAGCAAAAACGATGTCTGAGGTTTACCAATGGTTTTCAATACCATTTTTAAGATACGTTCTAATTGATGTAACAGTTTAAAAACACAAAGATTTCATCTATATCTACCATCTACACAGTTAGAAGAATGAGACTCAAAGTAATTAAAATACTTCAGGAAGGCTGACAAGGATAAATGTCTAGCACTAGAATTGTGATCATGGGGAATTCTCCATTCCTTATTCAAAAACTGCTCAAGCCAAGAGTGCCTAGGTTTAAATGTTAACTCCATTATCTGCCAGCTGTACGACCTTGACACGTTTCCTCCCTGGAAAGTGAGCGCCAACCCCAGAGAATTGCTGAGAAGATAAAATGAGAGAAAAATGGAGAATAGTGCAGAGAACAATGCCCGTGTATTGCCAATGAGGTAAACATGCAGTAATGCAAGAGTTCTTGTTATGATGATGACGATGTTTAAAAATCCTGGGTTTCAGAAACAAAACAAAATGTTTTGTAATGTGAAAATACTAAGGAATAAATGGAGATCTGGATCTAATTATCTTTTCTGTTTCAAAGTGATAAAAAAAATTCCTAAGCATCCTAGTGACACATCTTAATATACATTATAAATCCAAATACATATGTACTGAGAGGAAATCAGGATAAATTTTTAGTTTATTCACTTTCAGAAACATCTAAAACAAGGAGTAAAATAAAAAATCTAGATATTATTAAGTTTTTATTAGTGATCCCCATTACAAATTCTTACAGGTATATTTGCGTATAGCTTACAAATTCAGAATAAGTAAATAGGTTAAAACAGCTAAGAATGCTAAACTATTTACATTTCATGTAACACTTCAAGAGGATGGTCTGACTGAAAGTAGCTAAAACTGCACAGTCATGCTTTCTGACTCATCTCCTTTGCAGTTACTTCTGTTTTCAGTCTTTCTCACTCATGGGCATATTTCTTATTTAGATTGCCACTAGAAATGCCTGGAGTGCTTCATATAAAGTCATTCAAGTAATCCTGAGTCACCATAACTGATTTATTTTTACTCCGTCTCCAAGCTATAATCAGAGTTGCTTTCATGGCAGCATGTCGTAACACTGATTTTCTCCAAATGTGTAAGTTTAGAAAAGACACAGGCTTTGGATGCATGTTGAATAGGGTGGCTCTAGCAGGCACTACTGGCTGCACCTAACCAAATCCAGAAGAGGACACAAAGCCTCAGTTCAAGTTCATGTATGGCATTAAAAGCAGGGAAATGTCAGCAGAGGCCATAAGGTTCTAGAAGCCTGCATAGGAATCGTGTGAGACAAGGAGCCAACAGCCTTCTCACTACCAACTCTGACAACGTTCAGTCTCTCAGACAACTGACAGGAGATGCAGTAAGATGCCCTGAAGAACTCTCCCAGCTGGATGTGGTGGCTCATGCCTGTAATCCCAGCACTTTGGGAGGCCAAGGTGTTCTCTTGAGCCCAGGAGTTCAAGACCACCCAGGGCCACACAGACAGACTCCATCTCTACAAAAAAAGTTAAAATTAGCCAGGCATGCTGGCACATGCCTATAGTCGAAGCTACTCAGCAGGCTTAGATGGGAAGGTTGAGCCCAAGAGGTTGAGGCTGCAGTGAGCCATAATTGCGCGACTGCACTCCAGCCTGGGCGACAGAGCAAAACTCTGTCTCAAAAACAAAAAAAAAAAACACGCTCGTTGGTGGAGCTTGCAGTGAGCCGAGATTGTGCCACTGCACTCCAGCTTGGGCAAGAGTGAGACTCCGTTTCAAAAAAACAAACAAAAAAAAACTCTCCTCAAAATAGTTTTTTGCTCAAGCAACTGAGTAGTCTCCACGGCTATTTGCTGCCCTCTCATCTCCCTCTCTTCCAACAGATCCTTCAGGAAAGAGGGTGAGGCCATCCTCAGATTCCCCAACAGCAGTCATCAGCAGATATCAGCAGAAGGCCATGGGTCAGGCCCAAATTCAGGCTCTAATCACCTCACTGCTAGACTGCTGCAGCTACCAAACTGTCCTGCTCTCCTGACGCACCCTGCACATGTTTAATCTTTCTAAAATCATGCTATGATCACACTACTCACCTATTACAGTGTCTTCAGAAGCACAGAAAAGAAAGCTTAAACCAGTGGTTGTCTGAAATGTATGTTAGCCCCTATCTATTTTTTCCAACTTTATCTTGTATTTCTCTCATATAAATCCCCACATCCGGTCAGTTCTCAGCATTTTTGTTTACTCCACTTCCCAGCCCTAGCATCTGCTGCCCAGCCAATTCCTACCTTTTTTTTTTTTTTTTTCCAGACAGTATCTTGCTCTGTCACTGAGGCTGCAGTATAGCAGCATGATCATGGCTTACTGCAGCCTGGAACTCTGGGCTCAAGCAATTCTCTCACCTCAGCCTCTCAAGTAGCTGGGACTACAGGCGTGCACCACCATGCCTGGCTAATTTGTTTTTAATTTTTTAGTAGAGATAGGGTCTTCCTATGTTGCCCAGGCTGATCTCAAACTCTTGAGCTCAAGTGATCCTCCCACCTCTGCCTCCCAAAGTACTGGGATTACAGGTGTGAGCCACCACATGCGCAGCACTACCCATATTTTAAAGCCCAACTCAATCCCAACTCTTCCACAAAGTAATTATGCCCTAACCAACCTATTTAGGGGTAGAGGTCTCCTTTTGTTCTCTAAATTCTTATAATGCTTACTAATTGTACCACTCATCATCAGCTATCTTTCATATATCATTCACTCACTTAGTCGATAGTATTCACTCAGATGCCAAATGCCAAATGCCAGATGCCAGGAGATATTCTAGACCCCTTGACATGGGCCTCAAAGAATTAATGGTCTAGGGGAGGAGGAAAAAAAGGAAGAAACTACTATTTATTGTTTATTCTACGCAGGTCATCACCATGAAATCTCTTTCCATATGTCAACTCAGTTCATCCTCACCACTCTACAGTAGCTATTGTTACCACTTTATTTTTTATTTTTCCAGAAGTTATTGGGGTACAGGTGGTATTTGGTTACATGAGTAAATTCTTTAGTGGTGATTTGTGAGATTTTGGTGCACCCAAAGCAGTATACATTGCACCACACTGTTGTCTTTTATCCCTCGCTCCCCTCATACTCTTCCCCCCAAGTCC